GGTATCCATGACAGAAGAACAGCTGATGAAGGCTGAAGCAGCAGGACTACACAAAGTCTTCAAACTGCAGTCCAACCTGGCCAGCACCAACATGGTAAGGTCCCACAGCCTTCTCAAAACAAGCCAGCTACCGGCAAAAATCGCCACCTCAAATTTTTGTGCCGGCTACTTTCGTGTAAATTTTCAGAAAAACTCTGTAGCCTCCGTTACATTTTCTAACAAACTCCACCGGCTCATTTCTTCTGACAAACTGCAGACAATTTTTTGCTAGCTTTGTGGATCTGAAAACTGCTTCTTTCTAAGCCTCCTGTGCAGATTTTGTAGTGCATAAGTCAGCGTTTGCTTCTATGAGCGGCTAGAGTGGTCTTGTTCGAGTTGTATCTGCGGAGCTGTATCGCTCGAGCTAAGTGGAACTTGCTTCGTGAACTCATCAGTCTATAAGTATAACAGAAATTCAGCTTCCATGTCAGAAGTTTTTGAAATTTCTGTCATCAACAGTATGTATGGTTTTCTCAACTGGATTTTGTTCCTCATCCGTGAATAGTTTCATCAGGTTGGTAAGTCACTGAGTAAAGAGACTTTTTTTACACGACCAAGTCTTTTATTCAGCCGACGTTTCAGTGACCGTCTGTCATCTTCCTCAGGGCATTTATGTCTGGTTCACAATTTTGCATTGCAGCACAGGTGTCGCTGCTAACAGATGCATTCCCAAATGTACAATATTTACTATTTTCCTGTAGGTTCTGTTTGACCACAACGGCTGCCTGCGGACCTACAACAGTGTCCAGCAGATCCTGCAGGAGTTCTTTGACCTGCGGCTGGAGTGGTACACCAAGAGGAAGGACTGGGTCATGGGCATGCTAGAGGCCGAGGCCAGCAAGCTCAACAACCAGGGTCGCTTCATTCTGGAGAAGATCGAGGGGACACTCGTCATCGGTCAGTCAGATAACTCTGTTCATTCATTGTAATTAACTAATGGCAGTGCCGTGCACACAATAACCCTAACAACAACCAGGCTCGCTTCATTCTGGAGAAGATCGAGGGGAAACTCGTCATCGGTCAGTCAGATTTGTTGTACATATTGTAATTGTCATGAATCTGTATGTTCTGTTCGTACCTACATTGTATTTTTATGTATATGTAAGGTCAGCACAATTCAGCGGTCCATAATTTTTTGTGTGTACTGCTGCTAATTGCTGACTACTGTTTGAATGATAAAGAATAAAGAAACATAGCTCTGTTCATTCATTGTAATTAATTCATGGCAGACGACAACAAGGCTTCACCAAAATCATAAAATCATGGCAGAGCCATGAACGCATTAAGCCTAACAACAACCACCGTCACCATGGCATTGTATGTTTTCATTGTCGGTCTTGTTGTTCAAGTTATCCTGTAACAAACCGACTAAAAAGCAAACCCACTTAGTAGAGATAGGAAAGTTTAGATATTCGTTCAACAATGTGAAGATAATCTATCTTTTGTATCCAGATTGTCATTTGTAGTATTGGAAGATGCTGAAGTAATGTGTGAAGAGACTCTTTTTACACAACCAAGTCTTTTATTCATACATTGTACGTTTGGGAATGCATCTGTAGCAGTGACACCTGTACAATGTGAACCAGTCAGAATTGCCCTGAGGAAGGTGACAGACGGACACCGAAATGTCGGCTGAATAAAAGACTTGGTTGTAGAGCTGTGTACCTAAACAAATTTTAGGTACAGGTACAGGTACAGGTACACAGGTTTAGGTACAGGTCCGGACCTGAACCTGTACCTGAACAATTCGACCAATGTATATGCTCTTCTGAACTCCTGTAATAACTAGAAAAACATTGATATAGGTTTAATTTTTGTTTATGGAGAATGTTCAGATAAAATATAGGTAAAAGTAAAGATGTTTTTGTTTTCATGAACACACAGGGACCCATTGTTAACCAGCTATTTACACATTTGAGGTCACAAATAGGCATAAAATTGGTGTGAAATTGTTTAGGTACAGTACCGGTACTGAGGGATTAGGTATTTTGGACCTGTACCTAATCAATTTTTCCGGTACAGTATCGGTACTGCGTACCGGTACACAGCTCTACTTGGTTGTGTAAAAAGAGTCTCTTCATTCAGTGTCTTACCATCCTGATGAAACTATTCACGGATGCTGAAGTAGAGTTTGTTCTATCCCCGTACAGAGAACAAACCTAAGAGAGAGCTGATCCAGATGCTTCAGGCTCATGGGTACGACAGCGATCCCGTCAAGGCCTGGAAAGAGTCGCAGTCAGACAAGGACAAGCCTGATGACCTCCTGGATGCAGAGGAGGTTGGTCAGCTTTACAATTGTGTAGAAAGTGTGTAGTTTTTCCGAGAGGCATGAAATTATGATCTAGATAAGTATTCAACATCAGTTGTCTCTATACTATCCTATACAAAAATCTAAAGCTTGTAGTGGGCATTCTTTATAAAGTTTTCAGTCATATTTAATGAACTCATTGACAAAATACCCATCACAGTGGAGTACTCTTAAACTGAAAGCTATAGTACCAGATAGCTTTTTTTTAGATGAGGAAAAGCTGTTGTTTTGTTACCTTGGATGTACAGTACAGTACAGTAAAGAGTTAATCCATAATGTCAAGCAGGTTTGTTTGTCTTGTAAAACAAGGGTAGTAGAAATGTAGCATCTTTACCTGTCTGAAGTCAATTCTGTTTTATGTTCATCTTTTCATCTCTCTTTCCATCTTCCTGCTATTCACATGGAATGCAGGTGTTCTACCCAAGGGTACAAAATTTCGTTATCTCTTTATTGTCCTGATCTATCTACTGAAAAAATGTTCACGAAATTTGCAACACCTGAAATTTGTTAGAAACTTTTAGAATCCACCATGAAAGTGGAATTATTTGTATCTTGATGATAATTGATAGCTAAAATCATGTAAATATTCAGTAATAGTATGTACTGCGCAATTCCTATAATAATATGAACCACAGAGCTCTACAACTATTTCTTTGAAACCTTAGCAGATTTGCTTAACCCTTGTTTGCCATTGCTGCCCAACAGGAGGAAGGTGAGAGCATTGCGTCCTCCACAGCGTCCCGCAGCGGTCCAGACTACAACTACCTCCTGGGCATGCCTCTCTGGAACCTGTCCAAGGAGAAGAAGGAGGAGCTCCTTAAGCAGCAGAGGGAGAAGGGAAAGGAGCTGGTGGACCTGCGACACAAGACGCCCAGCGACTTGTGGAAGGACGACTTGAACGAGTTCGTCGAAGAGCTCGAGGTAATTTCTCTCTTTTAGTCCTTCTTCAAAGGACAAGATGATACATATAGTCTGGACTAAGAGGTTGGGAGTTCGAATCTCGGCTGATGTCGCTCACCCGACATGCAGGCTACTGTTTAGGGTCGTAGTCCTTCGGATGGGACGTTAAGCCATGGTCCACTGTTCATTGTGCTTGTCGAAAGGAGCTAGCCAAGGGTAATTTCCCTGGTACAAAGAACCTGTAAATACTGTACATAGCGTCTGTTTTCTCTGTCACAACCAGTGGAAGATTAGCTCTTCAATGAGCTAAACAGGTTCGAGATCACTTCCACTTTCTCAGTTTCATTTATCCAGTTTCCTTCTGTAAAAAAAATACTGTTTTGTGTTTGTAGAGAGTAGAGCAGCAGGAGAGAGAAGACGAGCAGTCGTCTGGGAAAATCAAGGCGAAGGATCCGAAGGGGAAGAACAAGCGCACCGCGGCCGTGAAGCACGAGTACAAACCCTCGCCCGTCGGGAGGCGCGTCATTCCTGTCATCGACGCTGCCATGAAGAAAGCTGCGGCCAGTAAAGCAGCGCAGGCGGAGAAGAAGAGAGTCAAGGTCAGTGGTTCGAATAATTCTGTGAATAGTTTCATCAGGTTGGTAAGACACTGAGTAAAGAGACTCTTTTTACACAACCAAGTGTTTTTATTCAGGCACAGTGCAATGTGAACCAGTCAGAATTGCCCTGAGGAAGGTGACAGGCGGTCACCAAAACGTCGGCTGAATAAAAGACTTGGTTGTGTAAAAATAGTCTCTTCACTCAGTTCTAGAAGTAATTCTTTTCAGTGTTCTGCAATATTGCAGATGAGTCAAAATTTTGTTCCGCAATTTGGAAACACTTTATATATGTTATATTGTTGTATTGTTGCAAAATACACACTGTCAAGCCTCCATACCACAACCTTCTCAGCGTAATAATGCAAAATATATTGCAGATTGTAGGATTTTCCTTCTGCAATATTGTAAATCTCTGCAAAATGCAGATGGGTATTTCGAACACTGAAGGTACTGTTATTTGGTAACCAGCACTGGTGTAATGCAAGGATTTTTCTGTTACAGACAGTTTGAAGTTAGAAGGAACAATTATGGTTCAACCGTTGATCATGTGTCAATGATTAGGATAGTTTCAGTTTGAAAGGTAGATGTGCCTTGTAAACATGTATTTGTATGTTTTTGTTTCCACAGAAAGAGCAGGCCAGTGACAAAGCCTCGGAGATGGGAGACTCCAGCTTTGGGAAAGATGAGGATGAGTTTGGGTTTAAGGCAGCTGCCAAGGAGCTTTCTCTGGCTGAGAGGGTAGCCAAGAAGACCAAGGCTGGACTAGGAGGTAACTGTACATAAATATCCATACCCAATTGTCTGATATAGAATTACTCTGATAAAGATGACTCTAGCTCTAAGCCAGTGAACCAAACAATGAAACATGTTTTTTTTAAGAGTTCAAAAGTAAAAATGAACATGGTCCTGGTCTAATGGCTACTTTTGTATTGAATCCTTTTCTATTCATTTTACAGGAGGCAAGTCTAAAGATGACTCTAGCTCTAAGCCAGTGAACCAAACAATGAAACATGTTTTTTTAAGAGTTCAAAAGTAAAAATGAACATGGTCCTGGTCTAATGGCTACTTTTGTAATGAATGCTTTTTAATTAATGAATAAATGAATCTTTATTCAACTTGCACACTTGCATAGCCTGAATTGTGTTGAATTTACAAAGTTTAACTTTAAAATATACATACTAAGTATTAAAAGCATTTTCAGTTATTGACATTAATTTTCTATTCATTTTACAGGAGGCAAGTCTAAACAGTCCACTCTGAACTTCAAACCTGCGGCCAAGAGGCCAAAGTGGCTGGACGAGGACTCGGACGGGTCAGACGGTGACGGGTCTGACCACAACATGGACGTCGTGGTCGAGCCGCGGGAAAAGGCACCCAGGAGAGCTGCAGGTAGTGTTCTTTTAAATGATTCTACAAAGGACATTACTGTTGCCTTTAACTGTTGATTTCGACTGAGTAGTACATTTGTAGTAACATAACTTATAAGCGGCGTCGTGTGGCGTGGATAGAGCGGTCAGCGCTCAGACAAGGAGACGGATGCCCAAGTGTGTGGGTCTCAGATTCGCAACCTGTTATTCACCTTAAACAAATCCACGCGAAGGCCACCGTGTCAACTGTAACCCTCACTCAGGTGTAGGGACTGACACAGTCAACCTACTCTGAAAATCTGTATCTGTATATCTGTACATGAATTTGTATCTGTGCATGAATAATTATTTTGTATCTGTACATGAATCTGTTTCTGATTGCAAATAAAGATATTGAGTGATTGCCATTAGAATGTAATACAGTATGCTGGAGTTCGACCAACAATCTATGCACCTCCATACATATTTACATCAACTACTGCATCATGTTGCAGCTGCTACGGCCAAAAAGTACATCAGTGATGAAGAGAATGAAGACGACAGCTGGGCTCCCGCTGGTGCTAAAGATGACGACGATGATTCCTTTAAGATCTCTGATGATGATGATGATGACTTCGCCCCCAAGCCAAAGAAAAAGGCTGCTCCAAAAAAACCAAAGTAAGTTAAACTTTTCCTTTATTAACACGGATTAAGGATTCTTATAAAACTTATAAAGGTCTAAAGAGTAAGATTTAAGGGCCTAAGGACTGCATTAGCCTGGGTGCCATCCTATTTGTATGCCGGGGCTCCTATACTCCCAAGAAAAAGTCTGGAGACGGTTACATCTGAACCAGCTGGAAATTGAATATTCGGTCAGATTTTGGCCGGGTGTGCTGATTGGTCCCTTCTGTCTTGTTCAATATTTCTTAGGGGGGAGTATGGGAGCCCAGGCGTACAAATAGGATTGCACCCAGGCTAGGACTGCATTACATGTACATATCATTTTCTTCACAGTATGTTGCCTAACTGTACATTAAGTGCTATAAAACAAGCATATGAAAAAGTACCAAGGTGTTTCACCTTTTTCTTCATCACTCCAAGTTTCCTCCTGAGTTTTCTCTGCTGTGATGTAGTTATCCAAACTGTGCATGATTGTTACACGACTCGCAGGATTCTTGATAGTGAGGATGATGACAGTGATGAGTACAGCCCTGAGCCCAAGCCTCAGAAAAAACCTGCCAAGTGAGTTGGAACAGCAACACACAAAAAAAGTGCACCACATGATTTGGTGGTGGTTTTTACACTTACTCTTGCACACTCAAAGCACTAACTGGTGAATTTGGTGTTGGTAAAGTTTATACTTATATTATAGTAAGGGTTTGTTAGATCAATATTTCTTATGATGAACTTCATTCTGTGATGTTGCTACTTGTGCTCTACTGGTGTGCAAATAACATTGTTGGTTTCCTAAAATGTGTGCTTTCTTTTCACAGTTTGATTCTGACTTGTACATTCCTATACAGGTTTTGTGCTACATAATTTAAGGCAGTATGTGTTAATTATGTTTACCGAAACTGTTTTTACTACGTTTCTTCTTCCTCTTTCTCTTCTGTTCCAAACACTAACCTCTGACCTGACCAATGACATGATTTGTTGATGTCTATCACCATGGTGACTGGTGTTAGGTTACATAATGTTTCAAATTCATGGTCTGCTCTACTCCTGTCACCATATATTTGTAGTACATGTATGTGAATGTGTTTGAGTAAAAATTAACAGAGCAGACCATGTGCGAAGGTAAACATGATGCATTTGCTTTGCAAATGTTACTTCTCTAGTTTGATATATGACACATGACACAAACAGAGCTGTAAACAAGTCTTATTCCTCCGCAGGGTAACAAAACCACCCCCAGCTCCCAGACCTGACCCTGAACCCATGTTTGGTGACAGCGGCTCGGAGGCAGTGTCTATCCCTGACATCCCTGACTCAGAACCAGAGACAAGACCGGTGGAGTCAGGTAAAAATCTCTCTGTCAACAACTAACCTTTACTGGTACCATCACAGCAACAGTTGACTCTACTTGTCTGAGGCCAGATATGATTCTGCTTACCATTGTTTTTGCTACGTTTCTTCTTCTTCCCCAAACCAAAAAGGTCAATGACCTGAACCTGACTGTCTGTTACCATGTTGACTAGTGTTGGGTTACAGTCTTACAGCAGGAGGGATTTAGACTCCTGTCTGACTCTGACCATATATATGAATGTGTTTGAGTAAGAATTAACAGAGCAGACCATATGCAAAGGTAAACATTATGCATTTGCTTTGCAATACAGTTATTAAAAGGATCCTATGTTTCCAGTTCTATGTTTAGGATTGTGTAGCTTTCTGTGCAGCATACTAGTACTCTGTAGAAATGTATTTGAAGCCTAAATCTTAAAATATCATAAAATTTAATTGTTTCCCCCCACAGATGGTGAAGGACCAGTGATGATCGACAGCGACTCGAGCACTGCAGCCAACGGGAAGACTAAGAAAGCACCTGCCAAGAAAGCTGCCGGAAATGGAAAAGCACCAGCTAAGAAGGCTCCAAAGAAGACCAAAGGTAGGATTGGGTAGAACGTACTGTGCGTGTTTTTCACGATTTTCATTGAATGTTTTGTCGACATTGCATCACAATTTTGCCCGGGACGTCATCTTTAAATACACGTATGTAACCTTAAAAGAGAAGTGTTATGCACAATACATTATGGGTTTTGCAAAGGCATAGTATATCCAGCCAACGTGCTAGGATTCAACTAAAATCAGGAAAAACATGCCAGTAATACATTATGAAACAGAATCTGTATTATTGACGAGAAAAGAGTCTCTACCTCTTTGTGCTTGAAATCAGCTATCTTCTGCTGTCTAATGGCAAGACAAAAATTGAAGGCTTGAAATGTGATAGTTTATTTTATTGATGCATTATTTTGTGTGCTGCTTTCCTACAGAACCAGATGCCAACCAGCCGAGCATATTTGATGCCATAGTTAAGGCCAAAGCCAAGAAACCTGCTCCTAAGAGGAAGAAGGTGACTTCAGACTCCGACTCTGATGCGCCTGCTGCAAAACCGAAGAAAGGTGAATTCCCAGTGTGTTCAAATCAGGCCACACCAAGTTAATTTTAAGGATGACATCCTCTGAAGACGCCCAAACTAGTGTGTGTGGGCAAATAAAAAAGAAATTTTGCCAAAAATAAAAATGCTACCAAACCATAGGAATACCAAGGAGCTTTCGTCACTCCTTGGGAATAGAAAGCTAGTATTGTGAATTGCTGCATTACATAGCGACGTATACGACAAGCCGGCACACGCTAGCTTTTTGTGGAATTTATGAATCAGCACTAAATCACTGTAGGTATGTTCTGTGCGTATGTACTGTACGTATGTACTGAGTTCAGGCGAAAATGTCATGCACAGAATTAAGTCAGTATGGCCCAACAGGGGAACCTTTGAAAAAAAATTGTAGGAGTAGTGAATTTCTGTTACTAAATACACATGTATGTTCAGAAGAGGGAAAGACTTTTCATCCTAGAACCTGCATGTTTTCATGTTTCCAGTCGGTCAATCAGAGTTATCCCGTATTTCTGTATATTTTTACAGGATGCGCATGTATATAAATGACCTAGATTTTTAGGTGGTAGAGCTATATAGCCTTGGTCACTTTGACTTGACTTTATTATGATCCACATGTAGCGTACAAACTGTAGCTATTCTTCCTGTCGTCCATTCTGACATGTACACACATACGACAAACAGGGAATATATCAAACATAAACTAACAGTAGCAAAAATACTTACACACAGCATCTATAATACATCATTACAAGCCATCATTACAATATTTAGCCTATTTATACTCTTGTTTGTTCTTATATTTCAGCAGCAGCAAAGAAACCTGCCAAGAAGAAGCCGATTGACGACTTCATCAGCGATGAGTCTGACAGCTCTGCCAAGCCAAAGAAAGCGCCAAAGAAGGTAAAGCATCCAAACAAGCTTTTGTTTAAAAACAAGATTGTGGGTAAAACTGTTACAAAATTTCGGTGGTGGACAAGTTGTGAAAAATACTGGAATGTAGATAATTACTGAACAATTTGTGGCTTTCCTGTTTTTGTAGCAGCTCTTGAAAGTTTTTTTTTGTTCAGCCCTGACTGATGTATAGACCGGTGCAATAGCTCAATTGGTAACGGTAGAGTGCTCGCTTTGTAACCGGGAGGTCATGAGTTCAAAACCTTGGCCTGGCCGGCTCTGCTTAGCACTTACAAATGTAGCACATATGAGAAAGAGTGTGGGAAGGTCAAACACAGCACTACCAGCGGACCAGCCCCCTGCTGTAGTGCCCTGCACAATTGTGTGGCGCCCAAGGGCTACAGAAATGGAGATGGGCACCACACTACGCTCAGCATAAGAGCACGGAAGATCTTCTTCTGATGACTGATGTACGCTTTTTTTCCTCCCCACAAACACAGAAGTCCAAGAAGGCTGCGTACAGTGATGACGATGACGACAGTTTTGCTGCCGACGATTTCGAGGCGATGCCGGTCGCACCACGGGCACGTTCTGGCCGGAACGCAGCTTCCAAAGCCAAGTACACCTACTCCAGTGATGACGATGATGACTATTGAAGAGACCTGTGCCCATCTTATTTATCTGTTGGTTGTGCCTCTAGCAGATGTATTAAACAACGGTTGTCGTGATATTTTCTACGCAATCAAGATATACAGATCCCTGCTTTGGCCATGAAAACATTTTCTTGTATCTTCAGAGTAGCTTTTGGTAAAAGTAGTCAACATAAGAAAGAAGTAATGAGAATTTGTTGTGACTACACACATAGTGTGGAAAAATTTTCATGTTTCTGTTTGATGTAAAAACGTCTTCTGTCCTTTTTTATATTCCCTTTGTCTTGAATTCTTGTTCCAATATTCTGTCATTACCTTAATTAGCTTGTAGTTATTTTCATGGACTTTTGCATAGCTGAATGTTGTTTTTTTTCAAATGTGGAAATGCAAGATTAGATTCAAGTGTCAAAATTTACACGAAAGAGGAACAGGTATTGTTTTAGAAGTTATTGTACCACAATCTTTTACATGTATACCTCTGTCCTCTTTTCTTCTTAACATAGTTGATAAAGTCCTGTCTTTTTAGCAAGCTTAATGATTTCAGAATTTCCAAAGCCACTAGACACATGTACATACTATTACTATTAGACTCTATGCATTTCATATCTAGAATTTTGAATGATCTGTCCACATGATTTTCTTGTACCTTTTCCATTTTCAACATTCAGTGTTTTTCATAAGGTAGTATTATACATTTATATCTCTATGTGTTAGCAGTATAGTATATACTGTACATATGATAATAGTGCAGTGAAGTCATTTTGAGTGTGTTGTTTTTTTCTACACTATGAAAAGAGAACTTCATAAGATGAAGAAAAGACATTCACAGCCTAGTTTTGATCTTTCAGCTTCTATCTAGAGTTAGAGGTTTATGATGAGAGTTAGTAGTTGCCAATATTCCTGTCTGTTAACATTCCATTTCTTCCTATTTGTGTAAATAAAGGAAAATATTCCAAGACTTTTAACAAAGGTGGTCCTCTGTTGTTTTTTTTTCTTTATAGTACTCTAGTCGGCTTACAGAAATAGGAACTTGACTTCACTAAGCTTTTAAACCGATGGAAAAATAAGACTTGAGCACTTTAGTATTACTTTTTGACAGAAAACCTGGTGTGAGCAGCTCAAGTCAAGAGAAAAAAATGTAAAAAGAATTATTTCGTGCAGTATATCTGAATAATCGACTATCTTACTCTTCCAGTCAGAAAGAAACCCTTCTATAATTCTGAGGCGTTAAAATAGCCATGGAGCAAAAGCGCCCCCAAGCGGCAAAACAATCACTGCAGCAATTGGAGCAGTTCGGCGAACGTTTGGGGTGCAGTCATACATCAAACTGCTAGGGCTCGCTTTTGATCCATGCACTTCACCTTCGCAACCCGTTAGTTCTCAGCCTGGAATACAGTCCTTTCGCGGGTTCATTAGGCTGTCGCGGCCCTAACACCGGCTGGCGTAACTACGTACTCGGTAGGAGTTTTGCACGGTTGCCGTGAAACTCCCACCGCGGCAAAGCTCACAACGGGTGCCGACGCAAATTTCCGTCTCGTAAACGGTCGTCGCCTTTCCGAACGGTCGTCGCCTTTTCTCAGAGCGGTCTGAGAAAAGGTGACGACCGTTCATAAAGGCGATGACCGCTCTGAGAAAAGGCGACGACCGTTCGGAAAGGCGACGACCGTTCGGAAAGGCGACGACCGTTTATATCTGCGGTGCCGACACTCCGACCGGTTGTTGAAGCCGGGCGGCGAAGAGCCCCGAAGTTGGCTGAACGCCAACCACCTGTAGAAAGCCGCCGCGTTGAGAAAAGGAGCACACGTCAGTGTCACAAGATGCCAGTGACGATCACGCAAGTCTGTCAGTAAACGAGGTGTCAAATAAAGTCAAAGGTTGGAAACCTGCAACCCTGGATGCCTCTCCGTACCGCGGGGCCAGGCCGGTTTGCTAGCGAAAATAGCCCGGCCAACGGAGTACAGTGGGACGGCGTATCCCCCGAGCGCCGGGCCGGTTTGATTCGAGTACGGCCCGGCTTTTGTCGCTAGCTGGCCGAGCAGAAATCGCCCTTGCCCCACGGTAATCTCCAGGGTAGAGGAAGGGCACATCTTCCAACCTCTATTTGCAAAATGTACCCTATTAAAGACATTAAAGCGTCCGAACCCGTAGACCGGCTCCCTCCCAACGACCGTCGGGCCCACTGACGATCCAGCCCGCCGAGGACACCCGGCTTATCCCCCGGCTACTACGCCTCCCCGTCAAATGCAGCTGTGGAAAGTTTGTGTCATGAATGTTTGTGTTATTTGTGATAGAAATTAGGCAACCCTGGCTCAGTATTTATTGTATTCCACGATAATATGAGCGCTATAGCCGGCTAGCCGATTCCTGTTAGTGTTATGGCGGCGGCTTCACCACGGTCTCTCAGAAAATTGTGCGTTCTGCAAACTCGGAGACCGTGAGCTCACCAAAAAAATACGACAAAAACTTCAACGTAAGGCTTTAAGTGTCGGGGGTATTTTTAGACAATTTAAAACTTACGACAAAACCGTAGAAAAGTTATTGAAAATGCCAAGCAGTATCTAGAAAAATAAACATTTGTGCTTCAATCAAGTAAAGTTGGTAACCCCCAAGAGACCCTAATTTCGGCCGTCAAACCCGGAAGTGAGAAAACGAGACCACCTGTAACAGTTAGCAGATTTAGCCCACTCGCGGATTCAGGCGATTTGGGAATGGCCAAACCTCGGAGGCTCGTAAGGGGGTTTCAACTTTTTTCAGAATAATTCATTTTATGACTTTGTCAATGTGTTTACACACCGAAAACTAATCGTTTATTATTTTGTGGGATTTTTGCAAAATGATCAGCTACAATATATTGAAATTCTAGTAATTTTTGAGGCTAGAAAAATATAATATTGGGGAAGTGATTTTCGTGTATCTTCTTCCTAGGATTGATTCTGTTTGACAAATACATATATAGATACAAAGAATGACTCATTTTACACATCATACTGCAGTGTTTCTGTACATTTATCAATTTTTAAAATGTTTTATAACTTTACCAATTTCCAAACTCGGCAACCGGCTATAAAATAGATTGGCGAATGACTCACATTCAAATATCCTATTATGGAAGAATCCAACCTTTCCATCCTGAACAGGAATACACATTTCACGAAAAAACGATGTAATATACTAATTCATGAGGTCAACACATACATGTAATTGCCATTTAGGCTTACTAATATTTCCCGGGAAATGTTATCTCTGTTTATGAATATATCTATATTCTCTACAACACCAGGTAGGACCAAGATAGTAGCATGAACTGATAGCAAATGAATGTTAATGAACATCAAGTAAAATTGAGTGTTTCTTGTTGGAATGTAGATATATGACATGACATGTTAGCTGATTAATGTAAGCCGATTAACACCAACCTTGTGTAACATCCAGGATTACTAATAAAGCCGCAGCTTTCACTAAAAATCTACTTGTCCTCATCAGAAGTCTTCTTGGCTCCTGCTGACAGATAGGGAAATACTGAGACTACATTATGGGATTGTGAACATTAAATATTTTGGCTGTAATAATATTCCATATGATGATGTAAAACAATCCTAAGTGCAAAAGGATTGACTATAGATCTGTTTTCATTTTTGAGACAGTTGCACCCCTATAGTACTCTCCAAGCAGAGGTTTGGGGTTGTTTTTAGCATGTTTTTAGGCTTTTTCTATCAGGGTTTCTCTTTTGCACTGGATTTTTTTCCCACCAAACCAAAACATGGGTTTAGTTTGGTGGAAAAAAAATCCAGTGCAAAAGAGAAACCCTGATAAAAAAGCCTAAAAATAACCCAAAACCCAAACCTCTGCTTGGAGAGTACCCCTATAGCAGTTATTCAATACAGCATATACACCATATATACCTGTAAATGCCTTTGTTAATTATGACAACTGAAGAGTTCACCTAAAAAGAAGAGACGCAATGTAGGTGTTGCACTTGCAATCTTATACGGGAATATATCAAAATACACTGGTGAGGAGTATAAAAGTTTCAAAGAGACAAAAAAAAATATTAGTTCTAAAATACAAAATACTGATACAAGAACCTAGCAATCATTTGGCACTTACGTCGTAGTAAGGCAGTTATTAAGAATTAGCGTTTTGGGAAATGAAAGAAATTCATATCATACATCATGTTATTATTAAGGCACTGTTATGTCTCAGAAGTACACTGAAACATGCAGCTTTTGGCTCAGAAGTAGAAATAACAGTAGTCATACAGTTTTGTAATTTGAGTATTGCAAAATTCCAGGCTGGTTATAAAAATAGCTTATGTTCACTGTTCATAGTCATAAATATTGTATGAGGATGCCTAGCACTTAGCACCAGTAGTTTTGCACAATGTGTTCAAACCCCTGCAATAGCCAACATATTTTAATACCTAGCACAGGCGTAGGCCTTCAATATCAAAGATAATGCATGTGCTACATGTATAATGCGAAGTACAATGTATAAACTATCATTAGGCCATACCAATTTAATTTCTTGATTAACGGATTCGCCTCTTCATTTTTTTCTGATTTGCAAATAAAAATAAAAATTCAGAATCAACTGCAGAATGCTAATGTTTTGCCCTGAACAGTTGAAAACAGTCCTTTTCTTACTACTTGTTACAATCATTTCATCGTTCAATGCAGTGCTACCATTAAAAGTTAAAAATTCATTGTTTAAATTTTGAACCAGCCTGGTGTGTTGACTTCATGGCTCCTATCATACCATTTTGGGCCATAATAGGATGCCTAGGCCTGTTTTTATTTTTTATTTTTTTCGCCCGCCCGCTCCATTATTTTTCTAGAAAAATCCGTTAACCAAGAAATTAAATTGGTGTGGCCTTAGGTGTTATATAATAAGAACATGTATTTCTCCTTTGTGAACTACTCATTGGTTCTTATCAAACTACCTGGGTTGATAATACCTGTAGCCTTTCAGTTATTCTGAGGAGTTTAAAAGTTACATGTTCACGTAGTTTTACTGGATACAATATGTGGCTATAGTGTGTAGCTGGGATTTGAACCAGTGTCCACAGGTCTAGGCTGTGAACTCTCGAACCCCAGGCCTTCCACGGTCGCCTGGTTGATTGCGGCCCTGAAAAATTGTACAGAAAACTAAGCTTTAAAATCTGTACCTAAGAAAACCAAAATATCAATTCTGATTAATCAATGTACAGTAATGATACAGACTTAAAAACTATATAGAAGAAATAGTTATATGGTACATTCGAAACGAAAATGTACTTTGAACACATATTAATACTACGGTAAGTTCGTGAGTGACATACTACAGTAAGTTGACATTAAAACAACAACCACACAAACTCAATAATTCTGAAGTTTTAAAAAACATCCTGTACGTTAGATTGTCAGCTTTTAAAAACAAAAACAAAACAGTTAGAACTAGTACAAAGAGAGATTCAAATAGCACTAGCTCACCACTCTCCGTTAGAAAAGCTTAAGCTTGTGTCTGCAAAATTAACAAAACCATGCAACAAGCAATCAAGAACTTTAGTCATTTCTTCTTCCTGCATCTTCAAACAAACCTTTTATGTACTCTGAGCTTGAATATATGAAACAATTTTTTGAAGACTAAAGTTTATCTTCAGATAAAGCACTGGTCCAAGTTTCAAACAAAGGAGTAGAAACAATGTAGGAACAAAGACTGGAGTTGTACAGTTGAAAATTTGGGTGAGTCCAATTTCTTGTGTTGGAAATTACAGCTTAAACTTGCTTCATAATGATTTCTACCAACACGGATGAACTTTCAAGATAATGTAGAAAGAAGTTGAATCAGAAAACCACGGCAAGGTAACACACGAGAGAGTGAGAGGCTAGGTTGGAGGGTGATACCTACGCGACGCGTGACATGGGGTGCAAGCAACTAAACCAATCACACCTGGATCTGCTCTCCGCTGCGCATGAATGGTGGCGGACGACGCTGGAGAGACGGCGAAGCGTTACTCGAGCCTCCCGGTTGGCTGACGTTGCTACGAGAGTTGTCGCGTGGTGGAGAATTTCTACAGTAGAATTCGGAAAAATTAGGAATTGTACAAAGACTATAATTATGCCTACAAAAGATAAGATGAATTAGCAATGATGACAAGGACTCCTAAAAATTGCCTACAGTACAAGTGTAGCTATTATCTTTTTTGTGGTCTTGCTGTAACAGGGGAAAAAGGACTGAAAGGATGTTGTTTTATGATCCATTCAATTTTCCCCTGCCAAAAATATTATTATCGCCACCAAAAACATCCTGTATATGATTTCAAGTTTATTACAAACTGTCATATTGCAATGAACATAGTAAAGCTGAAGCAACCAATGGTAACACTTGTACCATACCATTACCAGTGTTAGTCCCAAGGGTGACCAATGATAACACCTGTACCAGACCAGTGTCAGTTCTAGGCTAAAGTAGCCAATGACAACGCACGTACCAGACCAGTGTCAGTTCTAGGCATATAGTAGCCAATGACAACGCACGTACCAGACCAGTGTCAGTTCTAGGCATATAGTAGCCAATGACAACGCACGTACCAGACCAGTGTCAGTTCTAGGCCTATAGCAGCCAATGATAACACACGTACCAGACCAATGTCAGTCTCAGTAGCCAATGACAACGCACGTACCAGACCAGTGTCAGTCGTAAGCAAGCGTTACTCACATAAAGCTGGACTCTTCTTGGTTAGGGAAGTCTGGCGGGAGGCGGTATGGCGGCGGAGCGCGCGGGTTCTCGTCAGCAGGTTCTCTGCAGGGCAGCACAAGTGCACACACAGGGCAAAGCTTCAGCCTCAGCTCTTCATACATGCCAACAATGTTACAGTACATGCCAGCTGTTTAACCAGGGCTCGAAATTAATTTTTTGGGGATAGGTGCACTGGTGCACCCAACCTAAAAAAATTAGGTGCACAAAATTTTGTTTGGGTGCACCAAATAAAACAAAAACTAATTACAGACTTCAAAATCTTTAACAAGTACTACAATAAAGATTTTACTATTTTTCTGACACTTAGATGCCAAGAATATTCTGCATACTATTATACATTTGATATGTACAATAATGCAACAAAAAAATATTTGGGTGCACCAGTGCACCTACAGAAAAAAATTGGGTGCACAGCTCCAATTATTTCGAGCCCTGACATGCTAACAATGTTACCATACATGCCAGCTGTTTAACTGTTCTACATTTTTAGTTACATTGCCAAGGATGAACAAAATGTACAGTCATACTAGTAACCAAGCATTAATAGATTGCACATTCAAGTGTTTTTTTTTCAATATTCTTAATAATATAGGAGCATAAAATTTGTAGTTTTGGGCATGGAGGTCTGAAAAGAACATATACTAGTATATTTCAGGTCACCAATATTTTTCATTTGCAGTTACTATGAACAAGACATTCAAACATGCATTGAAAAAGGTAAGTCAAGAATGACATGTTATAAAAACAAGCTTGCAATAAACTGCAAGACAGTCATTTATGCCTTAATATGTTGTCTGCAAATGGGAATACAAATGCAGTGCAGTATACAATACTGTACAGGAATAACGTACAACACATTGGGTTTTAATATGTGTGACACATTATGTGTACTGAATTTATCATGCAAGGTGACGAAAGAAAAGAAGGGCTGACATTCTGCAGTTGATTATTTTTCTATTGTCCCCAAAATGTCCCAAAATGTCTTTATACATGTAGTTGTCCTGGCCAAAATTTTGGGTCAGTGGCATTCGGGACACCGTTAATTTGAGCCCTGGTGCTCCCTGGATACGTACTGGCACAGTACAGTACGTGTACATTCTGCTATCATACTCCGTGGATACGTACTGGCACAGTACATGTACATTCTGCTAACATACTCCGTGGATACGTACTGGCACAGTACATGTACATTCTGTTAACATACTCCGTGGATACGTACTGTGGAGCCCTGGTGAGTGGTGTCCCTTCGTCGCCCCTGTGCGGGCTGGCAGCGTTAAACATGGGCAGGGTGGAGCGCGGCTTGATGTCCCGTTTCTGAGACAGGTCCCTCAGCTCCTTACTGGCCTCGCGGATGGAGGCGTGGTGGGTCAGCTGGATAGCCGGCGTGGCCTGGTCTCGCTTCTGACTGCAGGGACAGAATTGCAAAATCTTTCCAGTTGCTTGAGTAATGATTCCTTGTGTACCTATCATGAAAGTTCATCTGTGTTGGTAGTTACATGTTTAAAGTTAAAACTTTTGATCCAACACAAAGAAATCTCTCACCCAGAGCTTTCGATCAGTCACTCAGTGAAGCTTGTCACGTGGCTTCTTTGAAGTGTGACAAGCCTCACTGGGTCAGTCTACTGAGGAAGACCAGAGTGACTGATTGAAAGCTCTAGGTGAGAGATTTGTGTTGGATCCTTGTGTACCTCATTAGGCCACACCAAGTAAATTTTATGGATGACGTCCTTTGGAGACCCTAAATCTAATGCGAGAGGGCGAAAAAAAAACAAGAAAGGCCCTAAAAAACAAGATGCCTAGATTAGAAATATACTAAGAGATGACAAATGTAAGGACACAAATCGAATGAGGCGACACAGTGTAATAAGCAAGAAGTCTTTTATTCATCATCAAAACAGCAATAAATCAGGTGGAACAGCAGTTGTCGTCCTGTCCTGTTCTCGCGTTACGGGTTTCACGTCAATCTGACGATTTGTGGCACTGTCGTGACTCCTTGGTCATAGTTACAGGAAGTGGAATTTCTTGTTTTTTTTCTAGGAACAGGCCAAAATCAATGCGCGCGCGGACGTCATCCATAAAATTTACTTGGTGTGGCCTTACCTGGAAGTCTAACCTTTATCAACACCAGGAAACAAAGAATTGTTCATTTTTACATAAGTCTATAACATCTACATCTGTATAACATGAAATTCTCCCCATCCAAGACTTTCTGGTGCCTCTCCCAGGAGACTGATTTAAAAAGGAAAAGCAAATTCGATTCGTGGTGCCACGAATTTGAATTCAACTTCACAAGAAAACTTTGCGAATAAAACTGGCGTCAAAGTTTCAAGACACACCAAATGACATGTACATGTATCAACATGACATCAGGCTGCTTGCCCAGATTAAGCTCACTCTGCTAATCGTAAAATCATAGCATCAAAAACACATCCCTAAGAAGAGTCTAAAATGTACTGTAAGATTTGAAAGGTGTCAGAAGAGAATGAAGTGTACTTACACGCCCTGCCTGCGTCCACACATGATGTAAGTGAGGAGTAGGAGGAGCACAATGAGGATGATACAGGGGATGATGATGATGAGGATGAAGTACAGGGTTAAGTCTCTTCCCGTGTCGGTCAGCTCACGGGGCGTGTACACTCCTCCCAGCACACCTTCTCCTTCAACAAACAAACAAACAAACAAACAAACAACTTCAGCACAGGATCTGAACGTGTCTTAGGAAACAGCATGTACATGCACATTTTATAAATGGCATTCTCTGCAGACTAAAATCTGATGTGAGAGCAAGAAAAATAACATTAACAAGTAGAAAAGAAATTTTCAATACGATGTTGTAACAATTGAAGTGACAAAACATTGTATTATAACAGCGAACAACAAGTCTTTTAATACAAAGACACAAGTGTGGTAGCTTCAGTACACTCAAGGCTGCCACCCTTACTGTCTTGGCATCAGTTACTTTTACTAGTAGAAAAGTAGCACCTTTGCTATCAGTATATTCTATCTCATGTATGTACTGAGTCTGTGCGGGTGATTTTCCGATTATCCTTTATACAATGGTTTATTTCAGTTGACACCTTGCAGCCATTTGGATGAATTACGCAAACTTACAAAATGTCTCTAACTGAATCTAACTAAGTACAGGTAACAAGTGTTGGAATACAGTTTTGCGACCAATCCATATAATCAATTTCTTTAAACAGTTTATATTAAGAACAGATAGCAACAGCAATATCAATGAATTCTAAAATATTATGCATATTTCAGTAAGTTTATCATATCTGCACTGGCAGTTTCATTATCTTTTTTCTCCAGACACATAAAAGCTGAAAGAAATGTTCTCTATACAGTCATATTTACCTGCTGCAACAGGAGCGGGTGTAGCCAGTTCCTCTGGGGAAAACAGTCTGAACATGCACCAGTTGATGTCGAAGTTGCGAATATTGCTATCGATAGAAACGGCGGGCTGGATTCCCGGGTTACGCTCGCAAACCTCCACCTGTCTCGCGGCCTCCTCCAACTGATACGAGTAATCACGTTCTGAACCAACGTGAATGTACACCCTATAAAAAAGAAAATGCGCAAGAAAATGAACAAAAGAACGTTACTGTATATAAGCCGGATCCTTTTAGTACGTGGCTTATATATATGTTCTGGGAAGGACTTTAGTGGCAGTTTTTGTGATTTTTTTAAAACTCATTTCTCCGTGATACAATCATGCAGACAAGACAGACTTTTGGGAATCAAACTTGGGCTGAACATAGCTCAAATTCAGAGGACGGGAAAAACAAGGAACGGTCTGTAACATTTTTTTTTCACATGACACTGGACGCAGTCACGAATCGTGCAGACAAGACAGACTTTTGGGAATCAAACTTGGACTGAACATAGCTCAAATTCAAAGGACAGGAAAAACAATTGTAAGGAAAGGTCTGGGACAAATTTTTTTTCACACGACACTGGACGCAGACACGAGTCAATTTCAGCATGCGGCATTTGGTGGGGATAACAGGCAACAGTAGGGGTCGGTACACCTTAGACGTTGTCTGCAAGACTCTTTTCTCAGATATGACCTTTCCCTACTGTCTGCACTACACCCAGCACGCAGACTCAAACTTAAACTTACAAGGAGGGACGGACATGTATGTTGTTAGAAGTGACGTTGGTGCTTCGGAGGTATGACATGTACATGTATACAGTAGTAGGGTGTATCATCTGTAATCATATCTGAATCACATTCCACCATACGTAACGTATGGCACATTCATGGCACTGTATCATGAAGCATGCAGCATTTCCTAAAGGTGACAGTCGCAAGATTTAGGAGAAGTCAACGATTTTCTTTCTGGTAAACTGTAAAACATCAAGTTAACAAAAACGATTCAACCATGTAATATCTATCATTCATTTTTGATCGTAACCTAAACAAACGCTGTAAAATAATTTTTTGTAGCATAGAACTTGTTTCCTCTATTGCAAATATTGATCAGAAAATTGTGTTATGCAAACTGCAAAAGCTTACAAAATCATGAAAGCTCCAAGTAGAGGTTTTAGGCTCCAGCTTATTTTCGACATGCTTTTAGGCATTTTCATCTGAGCCTTCTTTTTTGTAGTCTGGTATCTTTTTTTTTTTACGCCAGTCAAATCGGTGGCAAATGGTAACCGCCTGGCAAATGGATACTGCCTGCCAGGTCGATTTGATACCGTCTTACAGTCACCAAAAATCTGATTGGAGAATGAATCAAGCTAGTAGTGTTTCCCTCTCAAAGATCTTCCATGCGTCACCTTTAAGAGTCATTGTAATCTAGTGCAGTGAAGGCGTAGATGCGGGTTAGGTACATGAAGAGGTACATGGTAATGTCTGATGGCACCCACCACCCAGGAAAACCGCAATGTGCAGGAGCGTTTCTGATCAGATCCATAGACTTCCTGTAGAAATATCTACCACTACACACGGGCCAATTGCTAGCATGGGGAGGGGGGGGGAAGAGTTAGAGCAAAATTACGCAAAGAAAAAAAATAACAGAGCAACTGAAAGTTCAAGATCAGCAAATTAAAGGCAAAAGCATGTCGGCTAAGCTACTGTAACACTTGTAAGTTGTTGTCTATCTGATTTTACGAGTATCTTATGTATTACTACATTTGGACTGAACTAAAACTACAGTCTAGTACACACAACTTTTGTACATTTGTTTCAGTTTCAACAGTTTGTGATAATATCATTTGTAACTTCTTCATATTACCTTGTAAATATCCACATTAAAAGCCTTTCCTCCTTTTATTATTGTATATTACATTGTATAAAAATCATAAAAGGCATATATTGGCAAACAAAAAGAGTTTCTGTATGGGACAATGCACAAATTTTAAACCCTGGAATTTTTTTTTATTATATGGAGTAAATGTTTTGTATGTCTGTTCATGTGAAAAAGATGTAGAAGATGTCAATGTTCTTGTCAGTCACAGAAGCATCTTTATCAGCATGTATCATAGCTAAACTGTTATATGGCAAAAATTATTCATTTTTATACTTCAGCTACAGACTGTGAGTTCTGAAATGATGTTTCAACTGCGGCTAGTACTGTTAGCCATTGATAGTGTCAGTAAGTTCTGTTGAAATCCAAGCCAAACTGTTTCAGCGTTAAATTTCAATCCAGCGAAAGGAATGGCATATTTGTGATGATAAACGTGGAAAAGACTTGGTACACACCCTTCATATAAATCAGGAAGGGGGAGGGGGTTACGATGCCCCATGTCCAGAGCTGATACCACCTTTGTGATGAAGACTTCTTGTGGTCTGATGTCCCAAACACGACGCACGTCTCGCAGAAAACGGGCCCGCGTGTTGCCGTAGAAAAACTCTTCCACGTTCTTGTTCTCTACCATGAACTGGACCTGCTTAGGAAGGGCTGTCAAAAAGATGTATAATGTAATAAAATGGTAAGGCAAAATACAAAAATAAACGGTAAGGCAAAATACAAAAATAAATGGTAAGGCAAAATACAAAAAAACTTCGATGAAAGATAGACATCCAGGTAATAAGATATGCCAAAGAAACTGAATAAACTATCCAAGTATCCAAGAAACAGTTACTCAAGCAACTGGATATGATTTTGGAAACGGACATTTCAGTGTCAGTGTCACTGTGTCAGTGTCACTGTGTCAGTGTCACCGTGTCAGTGTCACTGACGAAAGGTATGCAGTGGATGCTCTGAACGTTTGACCGTTTCCAAAATCATATCCAGTTGCTTTAGTAACTGTTTTTGGCAAAGTACAGAAACGTTTTGCATGCTACAGAATGATTTTGCTACTGAATATGTCTACTTACCAAGACATTCCAAAATTACCGGTTATGTAAACATAAAATTTCATCCATTTTGAACATTGAAGATAAAAAACTTACGGTTGTTGTCCTGTACATCAATGGTGATAGTGGTAGTGTTGGTCTCAAATGTGTTCTTGTTGAAAGCAACAATCTGAAAAAAAAGAAAAAAACTTTCTGCATACATATAGGAAAACCTACATTTCAACTCCATATTTTGCAATTCTTTCTCTACATGTATTATCGCTGTACCTCCATTCAAAGCCAAATCGTACCAGACTAACTTTTTTACCAAAAAATATTGTCCTATCGACGTGATTTGCAAGACTTCGCACAATCCGTTATCCCGGCTATATGGATACAGATACATAACACCACCACAAATATTTCACATTTAATTTACAGTACATCAGTGTTAGGCCACACCAATTTAATTTCTTGGTTAACGGATTTTTCTAGAAAATAATGGAGCGGGCGGGCAAAAAAAATAAAAAAATAAAAACAGCCCTAGGCATCCAATTATGGCCCAAAATGGTATGATAGGAGCCACGATGTCAACACACCAGGCTGGTTCAAAATTTAAACAATAAATTTTGAACTTTTAATGATACCATTGCATTGAAAGATGGAATAACTGTAACAACTAGGATGAAAATGACTGTTTTCAACTGTTCAGGGCAAAATATGAGCATTTTGTAGTTGATTCTGAATTTTTATTTTTATTTGCAAACCAGAAAAAAATGAAGCGGCGAATCCGTTAACCAAGAAATTAAATTGGTGTGGCCTTATATGTATAAAGACAAAGTCATTCCCTTTGTGTTCATCCTCAGGGTTCTAGCTAGCGCAAAATAGCGTAGGGGCCCCCTAAGCCATGATTTTGACCCCCTACGCTAAATTTCCCCCCATACGCTAATTTTCAATACAGCGTAGGGGCATTGTGACAGTATTTCTTTGTTCAAGAATGCCAGATCAAATGTGAAAAATTACCTATCGAGGATACATTGTACATACCTTAAAAATATTTTTTTTTCCCTTTGGGTATCGCTCAAATGGCCTCTTTTATAACTCAAATTTTTCAAAGCTCCACACCGTTCACTTCGCTACCTTGACATGAAGCCAGTGCCACTACGCTAAAATTAAATCCTAGCTAGAACCCTGATCCTTGTACCTCAATATCGACAGGTGCCAGGTCATCCTTAGTGGGTGTACCGTACAGGAATCCGTCAGTTGTGCTGTTCCTCTGGATGAAATGGAGCCAGTCTGGCAGGCCTGGGTGTCCTTTCAGGGTGGGAGTGTACACAATAGGGTCCACATCACCTGGACAGGGCAAGGGGTGGGACATGACAGTCTAGGAGAGACCTCTTGTGATTAATGTCAGTACTGCAGCAGAAAAAAATCTGGTTCAAAGACACAAGTACTACTGGTAGTCCTGCAATAGAAGATGCATTAAATTGTACCTGCCATGCACGACAAGAAATAGGTCTATGTGTAACTTGGCAAATTCAATTCTGTTTCTGGGACAAAGGGACATTTTCTGTAAGTGTCTCCAAATATAACGTCAGGGTTATGACCCTATGTTATCAAACTTAAATTACATCATGATGTCCTTCATGCTTCTTACATTTCTAATATTAATGTCAGTAGAGAGGATTCAATTCCTTACACTTGACAAGCTTTTTCTCTGGACCAAATGTTGCTAGCTAAGGCCTAGGAAAAAAAATGTTGTGTTTCCTGACCGACCCTAGAAAAACCTGCTGACCCTAGCCTTTTTTGGGGGGGTGGACCCCTGCAAGGGATATAAATATTCAAACTGATAAACCTGTTCTTACTCCATGATCTGACACCTGAGTGATAAAACTTTGTACAATTGGTTTTCTAAAATGACATTGAAAACAAAAGTGTCCTAATGCAAGTTTTACTTTGTTTAACTGTATTGGACCCCTATATAGATATCACTGAAGTCTAAAAAAAGAAGAAAAAAAAGATAATCCTACCTACATGCATACTTTTTTTAGTACTGAAACACGAAACAACATTTTCCCTAGGCCTAAGCATCCTGACTGTGTGTAAACTTAAAAGGACCTTACCAGTGTTGTCAGGCTTGAGTATGACTGTGTAGATCTCTCTGTCCAGCCGATACATGAAGTTTAACCCTACATGTGCAGGGTATGTCACATGTGCAGGGTATGTGTTCCCCAAGGCACCAGGCACCAGAAACACAAGTAACAGTCCTGCAAAACAGCAGAAATACACTGTAATTCTAGTATAACATAGTACTGTGAGTATTGTGTAACACCAACAGTGTCAACAACACAATCAGGATAAAATACTTACATGTAGCCAAAACACTACAGTGTATAATACACTGAAAGGTTTGAACTTTTATTAAAGAATATGACGAAAAGGGAATAGTTCTATGCTGGGCCAAGGAGGAAGTCCACTAATTATGTACATAGCTGTCTGGTAAAATGAGACAATCAGTAATGTATTATTGTTGATCACTTTGCTTTGTTGTCAAGTATATGTGTGTCTACCTACAATGTGATGTTTCACTTCCCCTTATTTCAGGCATTCTGTCCAAAACTCACTGAAGCATTTGAGGTACTATGACTGAGGAACACTTCTGCAAAACTAACTTATTTTTTGCATTCTGTACTGCTTTGTTTTGGATGTTGTAATTCAAATCCATCTTAATCACGACAAGGTAAGTTTCAGTCCTTCCATAATAACTGTAGATGACTTCTTTATAGTATACATAGTACATACAAGTTCAGTTTTGAACATTTAAGAATTGTATTTCAGGAAGGTACTGAGGTTAAGACCATATGCCTTGATTTTATACATGCATAATCTATAATCAGTCATAACTCCTAGATCTGAGATTCAAAGACAGTAGGAGTCCTACTGTCTTTGAATCTCAGATCTTGCAATCAAGGCCTCTTTAGTATGTACATTAATGTTGTCAGTTTACTTTTACCTGATCAACAATTTGTACCATATATATGCTTGGGGGACAGTCCTACTCCTCTCCATGAATGTAAACTATGTCCAGCCCTGCTTGTATAAGAAATCCCTCCATCCAGCTGTATGATTCTATGAATAATGGTGCAGGAATTCAAAACAGACTTCTTCTGGCTGTTGTTTAGTCAACCCTTGGTCACAGGTATCAAGGTCAGATAGGAAGAATTCCTGAGTATTGAACAGCAGCCAAACAAGTTCAAGTCTATGAGTTGACATGGCTATACATTGTGATATATTGACCCTTATTGTCTTCGTCAGAAGGACTATGAAATTGTCTCGCCGGAGTGTGGGGAACTGCGGATTTTGCGATATAAGGCATGATCGACGTCCATGATTTTTGGCAGGCAGATTACCGCTGTTAAGGCCGAAGTCAAGTACAAGTTTTGGCTTCGTGGGGGGTCCGTGCGTCACGTTAGTGCACCTTTTGTGTTTGTGGCTTGTTAGCAAGATAACTCAAGTATTTGTAAAATGTTGATTATAATTCTTGGTGTGGTGCTTACTAGTGTCGGGACCAAGGTTAAGTTCGTTACTGAGCTTCGTGGGGGGTTTCGTTGTGACTACAGGGGGCATTTTGTTAATTTTTCTTGTGAGCAGGATAACTTTTGTATGTGTGGATGGAAGTTAATGAAATTTGATAGGCATATTACTGTTGTGGTCTCCAAGATTGAGTTCAAAGATGAGAGTCGTGGAGGTCGTTATGTCCCCGTAATAGGACCTTTTGTGTTTAGAAATCCCCCACCTACATCTGCTTGGAGACAGCCGACAGCGGGATATAGTGGGGAACCCCATAATGGGATGGGATCAAATGACGTTACATTGAGGGATTGTACTATAACTTCAGCAGGGGGAGGATAGGTTGGACATATGTCAGGTTATTTTCTACGGCCACACCAAGTAATTGCTATGGATGACGTCCACTGGAGACCTTAAATCTAATTACCTTAAATTTAAGGCAAGCGCGCAATAAAAACAACGAAGGGCC